GCACAATGAGTAAAATACATATAGTTTAACCAATAAGTAATAAGTATGCGCAATGAGTAAAGTACATATAGTTTAACCAATAAGTAATAAGTATGCGCAATGAGTAAAGTACATATAGTTTAACCAATAAATAATGAGTATATATGATTATTAACTACATTAAACCCTTAGTTATAAGCTAAAGTAAACTTGTATGATTACTAAGATATGTATTTTTAGTCAACCAATAAATAATACTTATGCATCATTATTAAGAACTATATATCTTTGCAAACCAGTAAAGTATGTAGCTTCACTATGAGTAAGAAATATTTTATTGGTTAAAAGACTAGTAGATATGCAAGATTAAACAGAGTTATATTCTCAGTTAACCAATAGAGAGTAAATATTCATATTCATAAGACATATATTTTTAGTCAACCAATAAATAGTAAATGTATATCATTATTAAGAATGGTATTTTTTGCTAACCAATAAAGAATGCAGCCTCAAGATTTGTAAAGTTGTTTTGCAGCTAAATCAAGAAAGGTGCATATGCAGGATGAATGAGAATTACAATTTCAGTTAACCAATAAAAAAAAGAATATATAATATCAGCAGTATGATTCTGTCCAGATCGGCCGCCTATTACGTTCGATCTGGACTGAATGGATATTTCCGACAATCTCGGACCACTGGAATCCAAAAGAAAATAATATCGTAAAAACATATACAATAGTAATAATAACTTTACTTTCTTATAAACATAAAGCTTGTATCATATATCTCTTAAATAATTTCAAAATAATCCATATATCTTGTCTCCTTAAGATTCTAATTAAAATTATATTGGTTTTAAGCTATAGATAATGATACAATATACATTTTAATATATTCTTATAACCGATTTGTTCTATGATATATATATATAGTAATTGTTCACAATTACATGGTTCTTTTTTTTGTTAATACTTTAAATGTATGATAGACATTATATATATATATATATATATATATATATATATATTCATACAGTTAAAGCTATGTTTTCTAGTGTGTTTAATATATGTAATACTATCTAGATGCGGACCCATTTTTTTTTATAATTACACTCGGTGGAATTTAATCAAAGAATAATAACCTACACAATAATATTATCGAGTTATTTTGAAACAGTCGGTATTTATAGTCAAAATTTTACCCTATAACTATATATATATAAACTGCTATTGTATCTTGAATACACTATTAGGTATATATATATATTCTTCTTCTTCTCTTCAACATACACTGATACAAACATATAACACAAATCACTATTGATCTATATATTTATATATAGCTTTTACTTTATTTTAGATATACTGTTCAGCCTATTTTCATTCTTCCCTTCAACATACGCCCACGCACATGCCCATGCACACGCACATGCGCCTACACACACTCAGGCATCTGTCTACCAGTCAATTGGCTGCACCAATATAAAATATACAATATCGTCTATATCGTTTTATGTCCTCTTACAAACTAAGGATGTGAATTGGTAATTTGGGCAGTGTGCACTTTTTTGTAAACTTGTATTACCAATCGGTGGTGCAGGCAGCCTTTGTGTACCCGATAGTAAAAGAACCATAGCAGGACCCATTGACAGGGACACTTTTATCCATATGGAGGTTGAAATACCACTTAGTATTCACTCAAAACTATTCAGAGAGAAGTGTGTATTAAAATAACCTTTTCTGTGCCGCAACCAAACCAAAAATAAAACTTTTTTAACGATGGCTTGAATCTTCTTTCAACATTCCCTACATTCCTACATCCCTGTCGAAGATCTTCATTCCTGTTGGGGATCGTCATTCATATTGTATTGCAACTCAAAGTGGACCGAAAGCGACGCAATACAAAAAGGAAGCGCACTCTTTTTAAAAAAAACCAAAATATTCTTTGTTTTATCTTTTAGACGGCTGTCCATAGTATATATGAGTCGAACAAGAAATAGGCCCTCAGTCATACTTTCGTGTCCTTATAAACTTTTCAACGCTTTAAAAACCGACACCAATAACTACAATATTCTTTTTTTTTATTACGCCTAACAACACCAGCTGCACAACGCTATCAAAAGTGCTATATACCACTGTTCTCAGAACTACCTTTAAACTTTTGCACGCACATAACACTTGTATGCTTATACTTCCAAGACTGTCTTCAGTGATAATGATCTCATCCCATCATACATATTCTCCAAAGCTTCCGACTTTTACTATATCTTTAAATAACTGGTTCTAAACCAAACAGAAATCACCCATCACAAAGTCCTGCCATAGCAATCTCTCTTTATAGGCGCACACAATAATTCTCAAGTCTATAATAATAATAACATTGTTACACACCCTAATTCTCAAACCTATCTTATATAAAAAAAATTATTTCTTACACACTGCCTCCGTCTATCTCACTATCCTACACTCTTTACACAGCACAAATACTCTACTATCAAAACCTTCTTGATATCTTTAAAACAAAATCGCTGTTACACTACACTCTCATTCTTCTTTAGCCTTTCACTTTAATCAATTCGACTCGGTCTCCACCTACCCACTTATCTTATTTATTTTACTATATTTAAATAGACAAAACAAATAGAAGCTATAATGATTTATATATGTACTTGCTTTAATTACAAGCATATTATTCATTTATCTAGGTTTAGAAAAATATTATAAGAGATGTATGTGTAGTTAAGATGTGTGTAGTTGAGATTTGTATATGTGTGTATGTAGTTGAGATTTGTATATGTATGTGTGTATAGTTGAAGTTTGTATATGTATGTGTGTAGTTGAGGTTTGTATATATGTGTGTGTAGCTGAGGTATGTGAAAAGGGTGGAGTGGTGTAGGGGGTGCAATAATGAGAGGCTTAGGAAGATCGAGAGTAAAGGTCAGAGTATTCTTGAGAAAACCGCAAAACTATAATGTTGCTCATTCTTCATAAACAATATTTGAAGCTAATGAGCTCTGTCTAAAAAACAATCTAAGCGCTCAGCTTTCATATCCGTAGTAAAGTTATGAATTCTATATACATAAACAGCAATGCTTTTGCGATGAACATGCATTGAGTAACAGCTTTATCATAAAAAAAAGGCGTAGCTATCTTCCTAAGTAAGTATGCTTCCCATCTAAAACAAGTATATAATCATATAAAAGTCAAAATTAATTGACCAAAAATTGAAGTCCAATTACTTTGACATTATACTCTATAGCTAACTAATATCTTATACTCTTTGGCTTATATCTTTGTGCGTGCAGATAATGAAGCCTTTCAATATCGCATATTAATATATTAGTGTATAAAGTAAATTCCAAAATGATTTATTTTATTACTGAAAAATGCTGCTACTACTATATTTGGTAATTATCGAAGTAGTAGTTTGACAAAAACATATAGCTTGTATCATTAACTTCTCATCCAATTTCTCAAATATACTCTCTTTTAGAATTATTTAAACAGTGAATTACAAAAGTATATATATATATAGCTTATACGGTATACTTCTCAATCAATTGGTTAAATAATTCTGAGCAAGGATCGATATATTTTGCTTAAAATGAAATCCGATCCGAGCTATAAGCAACAAGATGTGTTTTAATGTGCTTTAAAATAATTCGATCCATG